ATCAGAGCTACCACTCTGAATTTAACAGATCACTGGGTCTATTCTCCTCCACCTGATCTGGCTGCCAAAAATTTAATAACTATTCCTTTAAATACTTCAGCAGGAGATTCCTTTTTATAGATCCCTCGCCTCATATGATATCTCAGCCCTCAGCCTTGCAAAAAAAGTGGACCTTGACCTCACATCATCAAAATGCTTCTGCTGAAGTCATTACAATGCTATCAGAAAACCTTATCCAATCAGAAAGATACTAATAGAGCCAGCCCTGATGGCCCAGCGGTTAAAGTTTGGGTACTCTCCCTACTTTGGTGGTCTGGGTTCGGTTCCTGGTTGCAGAACCACACCATTCCTCTGTTAATAGCCATGCTGTGGTGGTGGCTCCCATAGAAGAACTAGAAGGACTTACAACTAGAATATACAACTATGCATTGCGGCTTTAGGGAGGTGGGGAAAAAGACACTGATATCGAGGCTATCCTGATTATGATAGTCTGCTTGTTCTCTTCAGAGACACTTCACCCTGGTTTGCAAGAACTGCTTAACTCCACTCAAGGAATATGTCCATTTTAAAGGACACAAAATTGGCTCACTTCTGTTGAAATGGCTGGTACTTACATTCCCAATACTCCCACCACTACAATACTACTACTTATGTGGATGTGAGGTTTACACGTGCCTGCTGCATACTAACTAATCCTGTGTACCTGAAGTAACTGTAAGAGATTTTCAGATATTTAAACTACCATCCCATTTGTCCAGCTACAGGTGTGCACATGGTGGTCTTTTGCTGGAGGGCACTGACATACTTGATAGGTATTATTATTCTTACTTTATAGTAATGGAAACTAAGAGAGGTTAAGTGACTTGCTCAAAGTCACACATCTACTAAGTGACAGAAGCTGATAGCAGAATCTAGATCCGTCTGATTCTAAGTCCTGAACTTTTAATCATTATTCTATACAGCTTCTCCATATGATAAATGTGGCAATTCCACCATTATTCTAGCTGTTCACACCTCAACAAGTTTATCTATTCACTACTGCTACTGAGAAAACTGTCAAATTATTTCTTACTATCTTAACTACCCCCATAGCAATCACTTTTCATTTAACAGCAGATTTTAGAGTCTATAGAAAAAATTGAATTCTTCTTTTTTTTTTGAGGAAGATTAGCCCTGAGCTAACTGCTCCCAATTCTCCTCTTTTTGCTGAGGAAGACTGGCCCTCAGCTAACATCCACGCCCATCTTCCTCTACTTTATACGTGAGACGCCTACCACAGCATGGTTTTTGCCAAGTGGTGCCATGTCCGCACCCGGGATCTGAACCGGCGAACCCCGGGCCGCCAAGAAGCAGAATATACGAACTTAACCACTGCGCCACTGGGCCGGCCCCAAATTCCTTTGGTAATACAGTAAACTGTGGATTATCTCAAACTATTTATATTTGTCTTTGGTGCATGAAGATAACTGAATATTGCAAGATAAATAATGAAGCCATATCATAAAGTTCTTCTCACTTACCAATTTTCCCTGAAACTATACCAGATAATGATAAGTCTTTTTTTTGAGTAACAAGAACCAATCTAAACTTGACAGTCTTTTTTCCTTTTTTAAATTTGCTGCATTTATTGCTTCTATTTGCCCTAAGTTGGGGGGGGGGGTGTCAGATTTTACAAGCTTTTGCTGGCCAACTGGCAATAAAGGGAATTTAAAAGAACAGGTAAAATCCTATTTGAATTAATTTCATGGATAATCAAGTTATTATTTTAGGATTTCATAACAATGAATAAATATATTCTCAGTCCCTAAGATGACAAACTACCTCTCAGCTATCTTCTTTAATAAATTAGTAAGTAAAATTAAGTACTATTTTGAAGTATTCTTCTGAAATATGAAAAAAAAAAAAGTACTATCTACATCATCCCTTCTCCTTCCCACATTTTTTGACCACCTACTATACTCCAGGAATTTAACTTTTTCCTGTAAGGCTTTTTATTTTAGTGTATAGATTTTGAGTCAAAATAGGTTAGTTGAGAGTGATAAGTACATTTGCTATGAAGGCAAGGCAAAAAACACTTGCATTATTTGATAACATGATATTGAGATCAGAGTTGTTCACATGTCTATTTTATAACAGAATCCACATTTATAATAGCATATATTGGAAATAAATTATACAACTGAAAAGTTTATTCTACTTACATCTCTAACTTCACTAATCATATTAATATGACAGTAAAGGCAAAATCTGAGCTAATTAGATATACTTGAGTGGTAAAATAAGACTATTTCACAGGCCTAGTTAGCAAGATATTCAGTTAGATTAATATTCGGTTTCTAAGTTTTTGAAAAAATGGCTAAAACAGTAATTATTCAGTAAACAGTTCATGATTCAGAAGGTACCAAGGTGTTTTCAGGATTAAAGACTCCAGTAGTTTAAGCAAAAACTTGGTCATATCAACAAATAGCTATGATCTCCTGCCATCAAATACCTTATTGGATGTACGGTCACTTGACTTCTTCAAAAGCATCTTGACCGACATTCAGGAATACGACCTTTAGTTGGTGGTGTGGGCAGAACTATGTCCCCTCAAAAGATATATTCAAGTCTCAACTCCAGGTACCTGTGAATGTTATCTTATTTAGAAATAGGGTCTTTGCAGATGTAATCACGTTAAGTGAGGTCATACTGCAGCAGAGTGGACCAGTGTCCATGTTAAAAGGAGGAGATTTGGAGCTGGAGCTGAGACACAGGGAGGCCACATGCAGACTGAGGGAGAGATTGGAGAGATGATGCTACAAGTCAAGGAACATCAAGGAGTGTTAGTAACTGGCAAAAGCTAAGAAGAGACAAGGAAGAATCCTCCCCTACAGCCTTCAAAGGGAGCAAGGCAAGGCAGATACCTTGATTTCAGACTTCTGGCCTCCAGGATAGTGAGAGAATAAGTTTCTGTTACTTTAAATCACCCAGTTTGTGGAACTTTGTTGTAGCAGCATGGGAAACTCTTACAGTGGGTCAAAATTCAAAAAACGAACAAAGTTACTATGGCCTTCCTGATTCCCCAATCTTTTGGAGAAATCCTCGTTATTATTCTTTGTTGGCTTTTCTTCTCTCCTCGAGTGTAGATAATTCTCAAGGATCAGTCCTTTGGTTTTGGCTCTTATATATATCTATTTCCTGTTGAGATTCAGTCAACAGACTTGCCTTTTTAACTGCTTTGTGGCATGATATTGCTTGGTGATTACTCAAGCATAATTCACACAGAACTGACCTTGTTGACCTACTCTTAAGTCTGGGTTCCCACCTCCTTCCACTAATTTTCATATTGTAGTTATTACTGCATTTAATAGACTCCTATCCATAATGTGATTACCATCATTTTTTGTACCATTAAGAAACAAAAAGTAACTGTAAAAGATTATTAATTATAACACATCTGGATTCAGAGATGACAAAATGTAAAAGACTGTGACTCAATCAATGATTATAAAATGTTATCCTATTTTTCCAGTCATCCAGTCAACCCTGTGTCTCAGCTCCTATTTCCTCAATCCACATATTCAATATCATCAGGAGTAATGATTCTTCCTTTACAAAGTCTCTTAATATCCATTTTCTTTATAGGTTTACTCTAAGCATTCGTACAAAGCCAACTGTACTGTAACTGGCTTCTGAGACTGTCTCTGCCCAGCCAAACCCTCTGCATACCAATAACAAGTTAATTTTCCTAAAATATTTGTAAGCATTTTATTTTTTATTTCCTTTAAGTTAGACTCCTTATTACCACTAGAATAAAATCCAAGCTTACTTGGCCCAGCTGTGACAGACATTGCTAATTGCATACAATATCCATTCTTCTCTAATTTTGTTTGAGGCACTTACATACCCAACTAATATACATGTCTTCCCAGATTCCCCTGCAGCTGGGAAAGACCACGTGACATAATCTGGCAGAAGTTTTTAAAGGATTTTTGGGAACATTTGTACTTTCCTGATACAAGCACTGCCCCTTTCGAGAATATGAAGCTAAATAAGATGAGGCAAGCATCTTCTAACTATGAAGCAATACGCACATGGATAAAATGGACAAACTAAGGATGATGGATTATAAATATACAAGGTGCCTAGGCCACTAATTACATTGTAGAGCCACTGTACTAGTCCTGGCCTTCCTATTTCTGAACAAGTTTATGTGATAAAAATAAAATCCTGTTTGGTTTAAGCCATACTGAAGGGATTCTGTTATATGCAGTTAAATGTGATCCTAACTGAAACTAGTGTTCAAGGCTCTTCATAACATGCTCTCAACGGCTCATTACGTCTTACCTCCCATTATTCCCCATACTAGTAGGCTTCCACGCTTTATTCACATCATTCTGCACTGAATTCACCGCTTACCAAACATGCAATGCCCTTCCACACCTCCACGCTTTTATACATTTTTCAAAGAAATGTCATTCCTTCACCTGAGCAAACTCCTACTTACTGAGTAAGGTCCAGCTCAAATATACAATGTTAACTTGCTCTTTCCTTTGTGAACCTGTAACATTTTGTTCTTACCTCTAGCCTAGCGTTAATTGTTGATTTACACATCTGCTTCCTCAATTAGACTGTTAACTCCTCAGATGCAGGGACTATGTCTTTTTCATTGTTTCCAGAATGTTTGGCACACAGTAAGTTTTCAATAAATATTTTAATAAAGAATAAAACACTAACTGGACTTCTTAAAACTGGTGTTTTTTGCATTGAAAGTAATTCACAATTTATATATCTATCTGCCTTTGACCCATCAGATATTGTTCAACTATTTTCTTTCTTCCCCAGTGCATAACTTGTAAAAAAAAAAAAATTACAGTATAATAGCATCTAAAAAAATCCAGTTATCATGTTTTATTCTTCTTAATATTTCCTACAGAACCCAGGCCGAAATTATCTAATAGGCACTTAGAAATGCTTGAATTGACTTTACAGCATCATGAAAAACACAGAAGACATTATACCTATGGAGGAAGACTGTGGACTAATCAGAAGGTCCTCTTGGACTTGTTCACTTCCTGGCACTGTCTGCTGATCACTCAGTGAACTCTGAGAAGCACTGACAGGCTGGGACACTTCCTCATGGACCTCCTCATCACTTAGCCTTTCTACTTTGACCCGGACATCTTCTTCAGTACCCAGAGGCAAGGTAGCTTTTGTGCTCTCACAAGTCACATAATCAGCCATTCTTCTACCTGTCTCAGATGGGCCAGGTAATTCTAAAGTCCGGGTATTTTCTGCCTGCTTAACCTTATCAGGCTGAATCCTTCGATCAATTCCAAAAGGAAAAGTCCAGGGAAAAGCTAAAGAAGAGTCAACTGGTTGACTTCTATTTTCTGAGTAGGAAGCTGAAGAATTCAATACCTGGGGAGAACTTGTTTGTGTGCCACACTTTACAGGACTTTCAGGAGACATAACAATGTAGCTTTTGCGCTTTCTCCGGGATTCTCGGCAGACAGGAGTGGTTCTTTCAACCACACTGCACTCTGAAGACACTGGGGAAATGCTTCCATCTCGAGAAGTAAAATTGCAGTTAGAGTTATTTTCTTGTCCAGCATCTAGACCCTTTTCCGGTTGGCTGTTGGGTGTATTCCATAAAATGCTTGATTTCATGAACTCTGAGCAGGTGCTAGCAACACTAAACATTTGCATATAGCTGGCTGCAGCCAGAACATCAATAATATTTTCTGTGTTAATTGACAGAGTGGCTGTGTAAGCATATTCCAAAAGGGGTATAAAGCCAGTCACTGTAACATGATGCAAATCCAACACATTCTTGTTCTCATCCTCTGCTTGGCTCACAAGTTTGGTGCGAAAGAAATCACTGCAAGCTGCTAGTACCACCTTATGTGCCCGGAAGATTTTGTCCTGGACACGAATAGTGATATCACAAAAATGTCCATCATTTCGCAGCATATTTAGCTTCCCAAGCATTTCCTGGCTGTGGGAAGAGGAGCTATGAGTAAATGTTTTCACACCCATCTTTTCCTTCCTCTTCTAGAGATGCTCTTCAAGGATGCAAATGAATCAGATATGTCCTAAAAAATACATAAAATAAGCATTAATTGATGGTTTAGTAGTTGAAATAGAAGGTCATATAGATTGCTTTCATGTGGCCACTGGGCTAAATAAAAAAGCTGAAAGATGGCAGTGAGAAAGTTTAAGGTAGGCGATATATAAAAATACATTTCCCCTACTTGTCCTCTAAAATGTCCAATCAGTGGAGTCTGTGAGCTAATGTTTTAATGAGCTGCATAGTTTAAATAATAACAATTTGTAAATAATGACAATTGTAGAGTGCTTGCTATGTGCCAGACACTGTTCTAAATGACCCGCATTTGGTCATTTATTTGACTGTCATGCTATCTGTCAGTAGGTACATTATTATCTCTGTTTAACAGAAAAGGGTTAACTACCTTGCCGAAGGTCGAAAAGTCATTGTGTGGCAGATCCAGGGTTCAAATCCAGGCAGGCTGCCTCCAGACCCTGTACTTTTAACCTTAGTGCTATCCACTGCCTCTTTAAGATATAAAGTGAGTAAATATGGGTGGTTAAGAGTGCAAGTTTTAGAAGGTGATTGGCCTGGATTCCTTCCTCAACAATTCTCCCAAGGTTGTCATAAGGACTAAAAGTAGTAAATGCTTATTAGCACAATATTTGGCACTTTGCGAATGCTCAACAAATGAAAGCAGTTATTTTTGTTTATATTACTAATACAATAAAACAATCTTTTTGGAAGTAAATTTATAATAATGATTAGTAATTGATCAACTGATTGAATTTTCCCTTAAAAAAAGATAGTTGGTTTGCCTTTATCAGATTTCTTACTAAAAGTATAAAAAACGGACACTTTCAAATACTTTTAATTTAGCAAATCTAATAATTCTTCCGTTGTTATAGTATGTTTCCTCTAATCTCTTTTTGCCCCTTTGATGTGAAGTCAGGGAGGCTTATATTAGCCCCTTGATAAAGATAAGAGAACTAATGCTCAGAGAAGTGACTAATCAATGGCAACCAAAGCCCGGTTGTGGGTCTTCTGACTCAGAGCACAGTACTCTCCCAATGCAAAAACACACAACTATGTACATCAATTATGTTATCTAAGATAAATAACTTTTTTTTTATAGTTAGTACTGAAATAAATGCAAAACAAAGCAAATTTGGGGAAATGTTTTTTGTAAATTAGCCCTAGATAAAAAATATTTCAAATGCCTCAAATATACAGCTATCAATTTAAAATGTTAAAGATGATGAATATTTAATGGACCTGAAAAAATGTCTAGTTCTGAGTATTAAATGAATGCACAACTACTGACATACAGTGAACCCTCAGTAGTGGTGGTGATTTTTTTTCTTTTTTAATATTTTTTTTGGTGAGGAACAGTGGCCCTGAGCTAACATCTGTTGCCAATCTTCTTTTTTTTTTCTCCCCCAAAACCCCAGTACACAGTTGTATATCCTAGCTGTAAGTCATTCTAGTTCTTCTATGTGGGATGCCACCATAGCATGGCTTGATGAGAGGTAGGTAGATCTGCGCCCAGGATCCAAACCGGTGAACCCCAGGCCACCGAAGTGCAGTGTGCAAACTTAACTACTCGGCCACTAGGCCGGGCCCTAGTGGTGTTAATGTTTTGAAAAAAGGTAATGAAAGAGTATACAGACTATGATCCCATCTTTGTGAAATATATATATATGTATGTGCGTATATGTTTTGTTTACAAGACAATATGAGGTTTTAACCAGAGATTCATGAATTCCCTGAGGGAGCCATGATCCTTCTAAAACTGCACACAGAATGATGTCTGTGTGTGTATATAATAGCTTTCATCACATTCAAGGGAATCATTGGTAGGAGTATGGGTGTTTATTCTCTTTTTGCTCCTTAAACATATTTTTTTCTTTTTAAAAAACAGCAAACTGCTGCAAAACCCTAGGGTTTCAGGTGCTCTTGGTTGGAACTCTAATCATACAGAGTAGGTCTATTTTTTCTTTCCCTGTGAAAAAGCCTTCAAAACCTGAAGATGGATATCACACCCCACCCTTCCCTAGGGTTTTTCTTCTTTAAACTACTCATCCCTACTCCCTTTAAGTGCTCCTCAAAATTTGATTAATGTCCTTACTATCCAGATTGCTCTGCTCTGAACAATCTCACTCCTCGATTTTCCTTTAAGATTGGTTCCCAGAATTGCACCCAATATGATAGGTATGGTAGGATAATAACTGAGCATAACTTTGCTATTTTTACCTCCCTTGTTCCAGGCACAAATATTAGTAAGACTAAATCAGGTAGTCTGAGTCAAATCATACCACTGACTGACTTTGTTTACATTATCAAAACCTTAACTCAGTAATTGACTTACCAGATGTGAGGTACTTTATTATGTGAATGGAAGAACACAAGTACAAATAAAACATTGTCCTTGGCCTCAATAAACTTAGAGTCCTTATGAAAGAAGACATATGTGCCTAACTAAGACTATAAGAGGTGTGCTGCAGTGTTATGTGAAAGCAAAGAATGGAATATTTAATTCTAAATGTGCAAGGTGGGAGAGACATCACAAAGGACAGGGCCTAACCAAAGCAGGATTTTGCCAGGTGCTTAAGCGGAAGGGAGTTCCAGGCTATCATGGCGATCACACACAATCTCAGGGAGTGCTCATCATCCCGATGTGTCTCCCCCGTACAATGTACGTACTGTATTGGCACACTTCTTAATGGACACTGTAAGATAGTCTAAATGTGAGCATGCAGAGGGCAATGTCAGTTCAAACTCAAACAATCCATTACATAAACATTGCTTTGAATGTTCTAAGCAGGAAAATGTATATGTGAAGAGGAAAAGAAAAAAGAACATAAAAAACCTAAAGATTTCCAGCTGAATAAATGCAAAAAGGTCACTGAACATTCTAATATGCGAAGACAAAAAATCTGGGACTCCTCCCTGTCTGATAACACGATAGAAAGGATAAAAGGCACAAAGCCCTGTGCCAGGAGAGCCAGGTAAGGTCACTGAAATAATTATCTTGACCATAATCAGAGATAACAGTTCAAATATAAACCTGTGCCATATCCTCTTCCCAAAGACAAGTAATCACAGTAACACACTGGGTAGCTAGGACTGGTCTAAGTAAACCACCATTTAACATATTTGCTGATTTCTCTTTCACAGGAATGAGATGAAGAGGAGGAAAACAGGAGGGCTATACTCAAGTTTTTTGTTCATTTGCTGCACCCCAGTAAACTGGCTTCTTCTTTAAAAGCCTGGCCATCAAGAGTGCTTAGTTTGACTGGTATCATGTGGTTCAGGGAGGATACATGCCATCAGAGCAAGTGACATAGTCTTAATCCAAGGACCATCTGCATCAACACAGGTGTGAAGGCAAGAAATTAAACAGCATATTTGGAGGACATGTGCAACTGGGTGTTAAAATGAAACCACTTCCGTCTTGGTTTGGGTGGAGACCCTAAACAACAGATACACATTCCAAAGTGAGGTGCAAGGGCACTTACGCAAGGAAGGAGTGGAGAACTATTTTTCAACCTTTAGTTACACTCACCTGCAATGTTCAGAGTTAAATAACAGAAAAGGATTTTTTCAGAGAGTGATCAGTGTTGTAGTCCAAATCCTATCCCGCTCCCTCCTACTCCCCTGCAAGGGAAAACGGATGAGGCATGTCTCAGGTCTATGGAAAATGTACATCACACTTGAAAAAATCAAAAAGGTACGGATCTGATTTAAACTCTGGCCAAGACCAGGAAGTATGTCTACTATCTCCCCACAGTATATAAAAGCGATACAGTGACGTGGCTGAGAGGAGACGTTGGAGCCAGAACACTGGCTTTCCATTTTGATTCAGCCATTTATAGCTGTGTGACCTTAGGCAAGTCACTAAATTGTACCTTAATTTCTTCAGCAGTAATATAGGGATAATAGAACCTATCTCAAAGAGTTCTGAGGATAAATTGGCCTAATACTTGTAAAATGCTTGTAACAGTACCTAGCACAAAATAAATGCTATATAAACATTAGTTGCCACTGCTGCTGCTACTGCAACTACTACTACTATTACAAACTTTCTCTTCTGACTCAACCCTTGCCTCTCCCAACTCTGGAGGTGCCAGAAACCAGTCAGCAAATGAAGAGCAGTAAAAGGACAAAGAGGGGAAAAACAGGAAGAAAAAGGAAGCCAAATAAATCTTATTTTTCACTACAGGCCTCTAGTAGGCCTGAGTGGGGAAAGGAGGGAAACCTTTAATTATGAATTAAGTTTATTAGTTCTTGAAAATAAAGTTTTCATCTCCTGAACGCGACCAGAAAAGTTATTAAGAGCTGTGCTTCATGGAGGTGGAGGGAGGACTAAGCTGACAGAATAACTATAAATGGACAGTGGAAGGCATGTTTGTCCAATGTGATGGTTACACACAGATGGTACAAAGTCTGATAGAGCTGGAGGTACGGGATAGACAAATCTTAGGGTTTGAATTCTGAGCCTTCCATTTACCAGGCTGGTATTAAATCTCAGTCAAGTTACTTCACTTCTCCATGCTTCAGTTTTCCCATGTGCAAAACAAGAATAACAGAAATTATACTTTTAAGATAGTCAAGAGAACTAAATTAGCACAATTCCTGGCAAAAAGTAAGCATTCAATAAATGTTAGTCACTAGTATTACTCTAGAAAAAGTGAACAAAAATGAAATGGAGACCAAATTTCACAATGTCTAATCTATTTCTTACATAGGACACAGACCACATCTTGAATATGTGTATTCTGATATATAGATTAGATGATGAAAATTATCAGAGGATTTGAGATTAAAATGGAGTAGTTCTTAGCATACAAAGTGAGGTGGCTGCCTAAGATGATTGAAATAAAGCAATGAGAGACTGCTAATCTTGAAAGTAATTTGGGGAATGAGAAAACTTGATATTTAATAAGAATTTCCATGTTTAAACATCCAGCCATATCTCAAAACTGGACGTTAACTTTCCAAATGATACTAATAAGGTTTTAATTATGCCAAAGCTGAACTGAGATC